ACTAAGTGTGGTCAGGTAGAAGAACATTTTCTGCTGCCAGCGTTTGAAGTCCATGCCAGAAAATTTCCTGGGCTTTCTGTCGGTGCCATCACCAGTGCAGGCATTGAGTGACTTGAAAACGTCGTAGCCATTGCAGCAGTAGTCGTTCCACTAGAACCATTTTGTTGTTCCGTGCTTGTTGTCATTTTTCTGTAAAAGAAATTGACACAAACAAAATTAGTATCTCGGTGAAGTTTTTATATCTTCAAATAGAATACAAACAACCGAGTTTTTATATCTCAGATTGAGTAGAAAGTCACAAAGACTTTAATCTCAAACCGGAGTAGACAATACGAAGATTTTAATCTCCAAAACGGGAGTAGAAATCAGTACAATTTTAGTCTCCCAAACTAGAAAGTAAGATGAATATAGAATATTAAATTCCTTAAGCTTATTAGTACACTGTATTCAAAACCAGAAAACTAGAAAAGTGTTAGTTTAAGAAAATAAAACAGAAAAAATTTCGAGCCCACAATTTTTTTGTGTGTCCTTAAGGAATTTAATCTCCTTACAGTTGCCCAAGGTTACGGATTAATTTCTCCCAGGATAGAACAGAATAACTATTCTGTGATAGCGACACTTCAAATCAAAGAATTTTGGCGAACTCAAATAGCAGATCAAATCAGAATGCAGAAGATTGAGGGGAGAGATTTCAGATTTTTCGGTGGTGAAAAATGAGGCTAAGCCTCAATATTTATAGCAAAAGAAGTTGAGTCCCAATAGGTGCATAGTTGCATGTTCGTTAATAAGGTGACTATTGAGCAGATAATACTTAAATTGTATGTTGAACGGAATGTTTGGTTGCGAACTCGACTGTTAGAAAATGATTCCGCGATATTTTTTTCCGCGAAAAAATATTAGAAAAGAAAATATTAAATGATAGAAAAGGAAAATAAATGTGGTCCAAAAATTATCAATCAATCATACCAATTGACCGAAGCCGAGCGAGCGACGACGACGACGGCGCGAGGCACCACTTCTTCTTAACTCTTTAAGAGCTAGAAGATGTGCTTTTCTATATAAGTACAAAGATTTTCTTTCCTTCTTCCAATGAGGGACAAAGTGCATTAGTAAAGTGAACTAATTCAAAATTTTGTTTTCCTCCATTTCTTTTCCCTCCATTTTCCATTCACACCTCTTTTGTTATTACTAACAAAACCTAACACCGACTTCGTCTCTCTTAGAAACGAAATACTTTTCACAAACTAAATGCCTTCTTCTTTCTTTTAGTGTGTTTCTATGTTTGTAGGGAGAATTGTACAGAGTATATTTCTATGAAGAAGGAGAGCCTTGATTATATAGAGAAGGAAATTTGTCAGAGAAAAAACTACTGAGAAACTGATCCACGTTGATCCACACGCTCCCACTTACTTTGCAACGTGCAATAGTTTTACTTTTAGGAGTTAAACCTTCTCTAAATAACTTCCTTTAATCATATCTCCTTTAAAGCGGGTCGGACCAGTCTATAGGGGCTACCCACACCAAATATTCAACATTGGTGTAATTACAAAAATTTATTATTTAAAATGTGATCAACTAATGAATACTTTTTAATTGAAAATTACCAGTTTATATTTTTAATATCTACTTTCTCTCACCTATCATATAAACTATTTATCAATATTCTCTTTCGTTAAATAGCTCAAGATATGGTGCGTTAAATTTTGCAAATATAAAAATTGCTTGTGCCTTTAATTTTCACTTGGATCTTTTTTTTTTCACTTGGATCTTAAAATGTAAGATATTTAATAAAAAAGTTTTTTTTATCTAATAATATAATTATATAATGAAAGAGGTCTTCCCTTGTTTTAATTTTCTTTTATTGTCCCACCAAGTTAAGCCTCTAATTAGGAAAAAAGAGTAGAATTAAACATTATATTTTTTAGCTTATGTCTTAAAATAATTAAGTAGGAACATGAGTCCATTTGTCAAGAAATACACTAGATTCACATAGTAATATTGATTATGTGACTCACATAGTAGTATAATGGTATTACTATTAAGTTACTAGTTTGATTTGTCTTGGATAGATGGTACCAAGACATTCATTTTCTTTCATAGGCTTACATTATATTTGGTAGCACTTTAGTTTATAGCCCAATGGTAATTTCTTTTTCATATTAATTACACGTGGCATATCCATGCTTGCTGTATTTTTAGATTTTTATACTCTTTAAATTAACCATGGAAATTATAGCTAGTATTGAGACATTCAATTAGTTTATGAGTTTGTAGTTGGTATAAGTCGATCTCATATAGCGTTTGAAAACTAAATATATGTGAAGCTATTGATAAATTACTGATACATGCAGTTTCTTTTGGTACATTACTGATAGATGCAGTTGCAGAGCTAATAATACTCTTTTAAGACTTTCGTAACAAGCTAAGCAACTTGAACATGAAATAAACCATCGTGCCTTGCCAATGACGACTAATCAACTGCTGGAATCAAAATTTTATATCAACTGGGATGGTTTTATAATTTGTTGTATCACCATCATACCGGTTCTAAATCAAATCAGAATATATCAATGCATATGATGATTTCAAACTCCCACCGTATCATGAACAGCTAACCTGTGTATTTTTTTTTTCCGTTTCCCGTACGGTATATGGTGTTTATTTTGCGGCTCGAAAGTCTCGCTTTGAGGATAAAATGCTATCAAAGGCAATTTTATATATAAGGCTCAAACTCGAAACTCTAGTTAAAGATGAAGAAGCACTTACCATTCAACCACAATCTTTGAATTATTATATTTGGTCCATATTATCTATTTAATAAAATATCCTATAAAAAAACTTTTGATAGTTTAATTATAAGTATTTTGGTCTAAACTATAAACTTTTCTCGTAAAAATTGTACGGGGCGCCCTATTTGGTCACCCCCATTTAACCTATACCCAATTTTTTTTTTAAATATTTTAACTTGTACCCACTTTTTTAAACAACTTCAGCCCATTTTCTCATATTCCTTCTCCTCCTCAAAGTTTTATTTTTTCTTTTTCCAGAAGTAAGGTTCATCTCTATCTGCTTATTCTTATTTCTCCTTTCAATCATTTTTTCCTTTTCGCCGACACCCTCAGTAAAGGTTCTATCTTGGTTTTGCAACTTGAATCTTATGCACAATTTTGATGTGAAAATGGGACAAGAGAAATTAATTATTAATTTTATATTGTTGTTTGGTGAATTGGGTCTGGCGGAAATTGGAGATTTCAGTTGTCGATTGGATTGGTAATGTGTTGATGTTTCTTGGTTCATGTTAATGTTGCTTTAAGTTACTTCGTGTGGGTACAACATGCCCCCTAGAGCTCTAGAGCTGAAGTTCGCCAGTTACAAACAAAAACATCAGCTCTAGAACTGAAGTTCGACAGTTACAAAACAAAAACTTCAGCTCTAGCTGAAGTTTGCCAGATACAAAAACAAAAACTTCAGCAATTACAAACAAAAAACTTCAGCTACTATGCTTAAGTTCAGCAATTACAAACAAAAACTTCAGCACACTTGGTTCAACACACTTGCTATTTCAATCCCGTCTACTAGAATGCTGAAGTTTTGCGTGATTGTCTTTGATACTTCAGCTCCGTATGCTGAAGTTACGCTGTGAGTACACTTGCAATTGTTTTGCAAAGCGGGCACAAATTAAAACGTAACCCAAAAAACGGGTATAGATGCAAGTGCCCCACTTTTCTTAAATGTTTTATTTAATTCTTAGTCCACTATTTAAAGTGATAACGGTGATTTGAAAAAAATAATAGATTTTTTTTATATAATTTTGAAAAATTTAAATATTTTAAAATAAATTCAATTTATGAAAGCGCATACAGAGGAAATACTTTAATTGAAATCATCCACCTTGTTCAATTTTAAGATAAATATCAGCTTAAAATCTGGTAAATTATCCTCACAAATTCCGTCACTCATTCCTCAAACTGGTTGATTGTCCTCTGTTTTCTTTTATTATATAATCTCCAAAACCGGTATATTGTCTGGAGTAAAGGTATAAGTCACTTGATTATTGAAGCGGAGGATTCAACTACATTAGTCGCGTAACATCTTTAATTTTTTTTTCCGTTTCCTCATTCCTTCCTTATAGTAAAAAAAAAAAAAAATCATTCTTTTTCTTCTATTCCTTACCTCATTTCCTTAAACTAGTAAATTATCCTCTCTTTTATCTTTTTTCCTACCCCCACTCCCCACTCAACCAAACACCTTCTGGTCTTAGTGTTTCCTTAGATCACTCATTACGAACTTTATCTCTCTCTTACTTGAGATGAGAAGGATATACAGTACGCGAATTTTAAGTGAATCTATTTTTTTTAGTTCGTGTTAAAAAGAATGATTTTTTTTATTTGAAAATAATTTACCTTTATACAATAATTTACATATCAACAATAACAACCCAGTAGAATTTCATTAGTGGGGTCTGGGGAAGATATGATATACGCAGACCTTATCCCTACCCTGAAGGGATAAAGAGACTGTTTCTGGGAGACCCTCGGCTCAGAGACAATAGATCACTAACCACGACAGAAACCAAAAAAATAATATAAGTATTATAAATATAATAAATAAATGAAAAGGCCAAAATGTGAATACAATAAAATATATGTATATTATTTTATGCTACAAGATCAAAAATCTTTTCTTTTTTTATACTTTGTACTCAGTAAAAAATAGATTTTGGAAGCCTGAAACGGCGCTGAATAATATTTTGGGTATGACTTTCATGGAACCCTATTGAAAGAAAGTCTTTTTACTCCCACTTATACATACAGCAGTCCCCTTCTTCCACTTTAAAGTTTAAACACCCCCAAAGGCAGAGAAAAAAAGTAGTACAGCTGGTTATATGAGTCAAGTGCCACGTAGCACACCCCCTATGGGCTACCTAGTATGATGTGGCGACCATTCAGTGCTCAAAACCAAAATAAATAGGGCTTCTCCGCTTCTGCTCTTAGTTCCTCTCCAACCATTCTAAAACTCTTCTTTCCTTCCCTTTTTTTCTTCTCTCCATATATACTCATCAACTTATTACTTTCTCTCAATCTTTTTTGCCTTTTCCTCATTTTCCTCTTCAAAGAAGAAGAAGAAACAAAGTGCAGTTTCAAGATATATACCTAAAACAAATGCCTGTTTCAAGCAAAGAAACAACAACAACAATGAAGACTACAACAACACTAACAGGAGAAAATAAAACAAACAAAGACTCTCAGTTTTCGCATTCTCATGACTTCCCTTTTCTCATGTCTTCCTCTTCTTATCCTATCACCCTTAAGGTAAACTCACACTTTAGTTACATATATAGCCACAATAATATAATCTTTGTTAATTTTCTCTATATTCTTTGGAAAACCACATAGTAATTAGCTCAAAGAAAAAAGGTCTTAAGGTTTTTTAAGTTAACAGCAGTTTAATCCCCCTTGATCACTATCATTTTCTTCAAAAATCTTTGAATTATTTTGTGTAGCTCCATAGAATTTCAAAAGGACATAAAATCTAGTGGCAGAGTCAAATAGTAGGAGACTGAAGTAGACATATAACGACTCATTTGACTTCAAGGAAACTTGACTTGTGTAATGAATAAAACATTAATTATGTTATTTTTTTGTTGGGCAATTTGCAGTTCATGGACGTGAGTTATAGGATAAAACTGGAGAGCAAATCAAGTGGGGGAAGCAACAACTTAAGAAAGATGTTTTCAAATGGGCCCACATCATCTTCGACCGATATCGAGAATCCAACAGCCACGATTCATGACGAACGTACAATCTTGAATGGGATTACAGGAATGGTTTCACCGGGTGAAATCCTAGCCGTTCTTGGACCATCAGGGAGCGGAAAATCAACGCTCCTAAATGGACTTGCAGGAAGACTCCAAGGACACGGCAACACCGGAACAATCCTCGCGAATAACCGGAAACTCAGCAAACCGGTCTTAAAACGAACCGGATTCGTCACTCAAGACGACGTCCTTTACCCGCACTTGACGGTTCGAGAAACTCTAATTTTTTGCGCGCTGCTTCGGCTCCCTAACACGCTGAACCGGAAGGACAAAATCGCTGTGACCGACTCCGTGATCACCGAATTAGGACTCAATAAATGTGAGGACACTATAATTGGGAACAGCTTCATACGTGGGGTCTCGGGTGGTGAAAGAAAACGAGTAAGCATAGCCCATGAAATGCTAATAAACCCGAGTTTACTCATACTGGATGAACCGACGTCCGGTTTAGACGCTACAGCGGCTTACCGGTTGGTTTCGACGCTAGGGTCCTTGGCGCAGAAGGGGAAGACCATAATTACGTCGGTTCACCAGCCGTCGAGCCGGGTTTTTCAAATGTTTAGCTCGGTTCTGGTTTTGTCGGAAGGGAGGTGTTTGTATTTTGGAAAAGGAAATGAAGCAATGAATTATTTCGAGGCGGTTGGATTTTCTCCATCTTTTCCCATGAATCCAGCGGATTTCCTCCTTGATCTCGCTAATGGTACGTATTTTTTGTCTATATCTACCCTACAATATGGTACATGCATATAAAATATCTTTATTTTTCTTTTTTTGACTAAACATGTTAAGTACTTTTTTCTGTCACATATATGTGTGTTTTGAGTTCGAGTTTTGATGCTGTACCATGTAGCTTTGTCATAATTTGATCTAACGTTAATTAATACTTAGCTTTTTATTTAAGCGGGGAAGAATAAAACGATGATATATATATATATATATATATATAGCTAGTGGACTATAAAGTGGCTTTGATTAGGTAAACTAAGGTGATTAATTAACGGTAAAGATTACTTGAAATGCAAGCTTCACTTTTGAGTGAACTTAATTAACAGAATTTTGTGTTCAATATCTTTTGTTAGGATGTGGACAACTTGGGTCTAGTTGACAAGTCCGTATATAATGCGAATAAGATTGTGTGACAACTAGAAAACTTCAACTTCCAAGGGTCATGGCTAGCTAGTTGTCTTGTGAAACTTAAGAAAGAAAGTAAATCTTCGAAATTTATGACTGTAAATATGTCATAGTACTTGTATGATTATAATAATTTTTTTGAAACTTATAGTTTTAAACATATCAGGTATAAAAGTTTTGTATTAAGAGTAAATGAGAAATATAAAATTAATTATTTTTAAATATAAAAATATTTTTTTGGAGATGTAATGATGTATTAATAATAAAATAGTGTCCCTTAAATTGATGATAGAGCAGTACACTACTTTGTAAAAAGTGAAAGGCGCACCAGCTGTACCTGGTACGAACTACTGTGGTACATCAATGAAGGGGGAAAAACAAGTAAAACATTCAATGTTCCAATTTATTATTGATATGTATATCGGTGGGAAAATTTTATTTTGTGTCTGACGATAATTTTTGTGTATCACAGTTTTGTGGACCCAAATTTTTATGGATCAAAAAATATAAAATTGGGGTCCATAAATTTACGTGACAAAAAGAATCTCGTACGCTAAACTAACCAAAGTCCGAAAGTAGATGTGGGTCAGTTTCTCCTTTTGACTCTAGATTTTTTGCTAGTTCTTCTTTTTAGTGAAGTATTCCATTTCCAAGTATGATTGTATTTAAGTGAGATATGTGATGCCTAATCTTTGTTACTCCCTCCATCCAATTTAATTAGTTTTTATTGTTATTTTCACACATAATAAGGAATTTACCTTTTAGCATTTATAACAATAAAATTGATCATATTAACCTTAATTTATTTATTAGAAATACAATAAATATTCTTAGGCTCTGGAAAAAGAAGTTAATTGCTTCTTAATATCTGAACAAATCAACTACTGTGGACCACAAAAAAAGCAAAAAAATCAATAAAAATGGACGGGAAGAAATATTATTTTACCTTTTTTATATATAATCATATAACGTGGAAAGATCGTAACTTTTTGTTTTAGTGGGTACTCCCTCCGGTCCAAAATAAGTGATTTTTTGACCTTTTTTTTGTGGTCCAAAATAAGTGATTTTTTCAGATTTCAAGAATGAATTAATTATTTTTTTCCTATATTGTCCTTGGAGTAAATAGTGTTGGAATATGTGTTAGGAGTATTTATGTGAGATAGTAAAGGTTAATATGGTCAATTCTATTGCTAATTAATGCTAAAAGGTGGATTTTTTAATCTGTATAAAAACATCCAAAAAATCATTTATTTTGAACCGGAGGGAGTAACATTCATCATGGGTAACGTACTAAAATTTGATCTTGAGAAAGTTTAAATTGGTGAAACTTATATACTAGCTAGGGAAAATATCAACATTCCACGTGCCCCTTCTCTTCAAATGGTCGGCTATTCCTTTTTTTGTTTTTTGTCCTCCCTTAGCCAACTCAAGCTTATTCTACAGTCCATTACTTTTTTTTCTTTTCAAATCCTTACTTTTCTTCTCAGCAAATCCTATACTATAATTTACTCTAATTAATGTCATTGGCCGTTTGTAAAGCAATGTCGACCAATTAATCTCTTCCTAATTGCATAAAAAAAGTTATATCTTTTTGAAATATTGGGGGTATATGTTACTTGCACGAGTGGTCTTGTTCGTTCATGCATAAATATTGTATCCTAAATTATTTTACAGGATTTAATTCAAAGAATAGAATAATGTATCTCAACCGGGAGAATAAACTTTTATTTTTTAAAGTTCTATAGTTGGAATAAAAAGAAGAAAAGAAGGTGTCATCGTTAGATTAGATCTATTATTAATAATCAAACACACATGGTCAGCTTTGTGTTGGAAATGCTGGGGTTCATTTCAATATGTAAATCATTTCCCAAAGTACCTGATGCTAATTGCTAATTTCCAATGTGGGGATCCATTCATAGAAAGATGGGGCCCTTTAATTAATTTATATACTTGTAAATCTTGATTCTTATTTATAATGCGCAGAAATATGGGGAAAAAGTGGATCCTACATTTCCCTCTTTAATACTACAACTATATTTGTTCTAATTTCTAGAGGAATAATGCTATTCTGGATTATGATTAATTGCTGAAGAACATATACTTTAACTGACTTTACTCTGATGGGGATGCTACATTGAAGTATTTCCTATTTAAAATTGGGACTTTAACTTATATTGAAGAAAAGAAAGAGTTTTGTTATTTTAGAGTTGACTCTTTGTATTTGAAAGATTGTGATAGTGACATGTTATGGTTCATCTTGAATCTTTTAACTCTATTATCTTGGATTTCTGCTCTTTGTTGTGGCTGCCCTTTCTCATATTCATGATGAGTAAATTCTTAAATTCTGAGATTGACATTAATATGCCATCACTTTATCATCATGGAGTATTGAAAATCTAATATCTTTCCCCTCTGAATCGAAGTATGTCCTATTCTCTGTCTAAATATTATGGGGTAAAAGATTTCTTGTATGAATATGCTTGGGTTTGACCTGAAATGCTCATAATTATAGAAAGCACCATTGCATCTTTTATTCTTCTAGCAAAAGATNTATATATATTGTGTGTGTGTGAGATACCAACTAGAAGACTAATGCTATTAGAAAACTCCTACTGATTTGTATATTGGAGATATAATCATTATTATGTATTCCAATCTTTCTGAGCTGAGGGTCTATCGGAAACAACTCCTTTGCCCTATCGGGATTAGGGTAAGGTCTGCGTACACATTACCCTCCCCAGACCCCACTTTATAAGATTTTACTGGGTAGTAGTTGTTGTTCTTGAAATCGTTATAATGTATATAGAATAGTCCTAGTGTTGTATATAGTTCTTAATTAAGATGCAGGATTTGTAGCATGTCGTGGTCCTTCTCTACTTGGATAGTACAACTTAGTAAATACCCATTCTTCTAAAGGGTGTCAAATGAGTCTTGATTAATTGTCTCAATATCTAATAATTTTGTTTCTGGTTTTGGGGTCAGGGGTTCCATCAACCTGGGGTCATACTCCACTAAGAATATTAACACTCCATTTTTCTAAAGAAAATCTATGTCCAAAGTACATGAAAATCTGGTTTATGGATTTTGAGGGTTTGACAATGCAGGGTGTTTCCATGATTCTTGGTTTCTATCATTTTCTCAAGAATAGTTTTTAGTGTAGGGGACATTTCAGCTGGCTAAAGGACTATAGTTTTAAGTAATATTGGCATACAAAATTGTTGTTGGACACCATTTTGACCTGCTTTCTTTAATTTCTTTTTGTTTTTTAATATTAGCTTGAGGCCATCACGCATATGCAACTTTAGGGTTATTAAACAAAACATATAGTGAGCTTTATTCCTTCACTTTGATTTGTCATTGGAGAACATGTTAGATAATATGGATTAAAGAGAAGTGTGACAACACTGCTTGCGTAGATTAGCAATCCATTCATAATATGAGACCAACTACACTAGTTGGTACACACGAGCACTTTAAAAAAAAATATTACCTCAAAACTCTGCCTCTAAATTTTGAAGTAATTAATTATTTATGGCTCCACATGGATCTTTCCTTAAATTAATCATATAGTTTTTGTTAATGACTCCACAAGCACCCTTTCCAACTTTTAACCTATAGACATAGATATTATACTTTGAGAAATGGGAAAGTTTTAAATTCTATTTAGTTGGCATAGTAATAGAATAGCACATGCTTTGCTAGTTTGTACAACCCACATGCCTTGCATTATAGGAGTAGTAGGGTTCTTGAAAGTCTTGGATGTGTAGTTTATATTTATCTGGATCAAAATATTTGAGGATAAACTAAACCTAGCATCAAGATCTACAAGTATATTTATAGTTATTGGCTGAGATAGTTTCAACTCTACTCTAATTTTAGGACCATTAAATTCTTAAATGTATGATATCTCCGTCAACTACATATAAAATAATAAATTGATGTTATTCTTGGTCCAAAGTGTCAAGCGATTAATGTCAATTGATTCTTCTTTTTATCAACCTTAATCATTTCGCTTTATCTAGAGTTTGTTAATGTTCATTTCTAAATTGAGTGCTCAATGGTTGTAATTACACATGGCCACCTTTGCAAGTATAGTGGTTCGTGGTCAAAGTTTTCACCTTAGTTGATGACTTCTTTCTATATATCGATATTATGCAATAGTAACAGAAGTCCAATATGATTTAAGTGAACCAATTGAAATAGTCTAGAGTTAGTCCACTTGTAGATCATAACCTCAAATCAAATCATTTATTTTATTGGCTATGTTGTTCGAATTTTGTGTTAGATCCTATAACTGTTGGAGGATCTGACACACTTTATTTTTAAGGATTTGAGAAACATAGATTCTTGGTAGAGAGTGATGGTGGTTTTGGCAAGTCCACAGTTACCTTAAAAGGAAATCATGAATAGTATTAGAGACAATAATGTCATGTACCAATTATTTCACGAGACATGGCAAAGAGAAATATCAACTTTTTTATCTATAATGTGTTTCAATATAGTTTGAGCTACAATGATGAAATACACTTGTCACGCTTGAACCCTCATTTTTATTCAATTATTGATAGGCATCTTTGAGCTATAAAGAATTTTTTCTTCTTCTTTTCTTCACCTCCTTTCCTTTATTCAACAAAGAACAATTCTTTTTCCTCTGCTACTTTTCTACATGGCACTCTTTTGAATATTAAGACGTTTATTAAATAGCGCCACGTGTTAGGGTCCTTTGCAAATGAACAAGCTTTCAGATTCATCCCACCAAATTGAGCTTTTTTTGTTTTGTGAATAGTTATTTGGTAAAAGAAGAAGATAAGTGGAGATGATGGTGGCCCAAAACTTCCATCAGCAATAGAGCATTATGTTCTTTTAGTGGACTTCCACCCTTTGCCACCAACATTGGACATCTTTAATTACCTCCTCTATACTAATTATTACTTGATAGTACAGCTAATTAATTAATATTCTCTTTTTTAACTTAAATTTATTCTTTGTTTTATGTGATACAAATTATGTGTTTTTTTATTTATTTTGAGTGCTAAGATTACTTTAATGCTTTTTTGTAGTCCTAGCTTTAAAGATACATATCTAGCTTTTTCCAATTGTTAACATTAAAGAAACTGAGATTTTAGCAAGCTCCTTTAGCTTATACTTTGGGAAAAGTATTGGAGAGGTGAATGGTAATTTACCTTATTGAAAGATTGACTATATTTGACAAAAGGATGGAAATAAAACTTGATTTGACAAATTTAGTATCAAATTCTTGAATAGTATGATGTCTTTACTAGTGGTGCCCACAATAATTTGTAGTTGTACCTTACACCTTTTCTTTTAAGCTTATGACCATCTTGCAACTAGCACCACCAAAGCATGTGATGCAGTGGATTAGACAGCTCTTTTCTTAATAAGAGGTCTCGAGTTCGAGCCATGGGTATGGAAAAATCCTTGGTAGGGAGCGCTTCCCCCCGAATGGAGTCCTACGCTGCGCGAATCCGGATATAGTTCGGCTCCAATGCGGTTACCGGACATCCGGTGGGAAACCAAAAAAAATTAAAAATCTTGCAACTAGCATTTCTTTATTTCATGTCCTTTGAATATCTATGTTTTTTAGCTTATTTTCTGTGAAGACAAGTTCCAATTCCAAAACAAGTTCTTGTAGTTAGCTCAAGTAGAACCAAGGTTTTAGGTTTCACCTCTGATTTTACTTTAAAATAACATTCTCTGGGGGGCCTCATTCCACTGGCATAAGTTCTAGCTTAAACATTGATTGTAGCTAAAGCATGGAGATTTCCTCTTTGGGGTCGTTTGCTAGTGTATAACTAATGCAGAGATTAGTAATATATGGGTTAGTAATACAAGTATAATTATGCATGAGATTATTTTTATCCATTGTTTGGTGTGGTGTATTAAAAATTAAAATGCATTGCATAATTTTTAAGAAAATTAGTTGTTTACAAAAATGTCCTCCATATTCTTTTAAGGATAATTTTGTCTTTAACCATGCTAAGCCTTAGTATTGCTAATACTATGGTTTGCTATGCATTAGCTATACATAGGATAATATCAAATAGGATTTATAACTAATGTATATGTTGAAAAAGTGTACCAAACAAGATATTACTAATACATGCATTATTTTCTCTAATGCACTCTGCCAAACGAACTCTTAATGTTTTGAGAGCATTGGAATTGTCTAGCACCTAGCCATTGTAAACTAACTTGGCTTCCTAATACTGATCAAGTATAGTGGAAAAGCAAATTTAAAACGTAAAAGCTATGCTTTTTTTAAAAACATTATATAACTTATATACACGGACTATAATTGTATCATTGTTTTTTAACCTGTTTTACATAACAGACAACCTGTCCCATTTTTCAGGTTTTTAGTCTTACTTTTATGGACTGATACTTGTAATTATCTTTTAAGTGATAACATTCTTTGAACTGTCTATAGAAGTTGAACCCTTTTGAAATGTACAGCTATTGCATTTTTTCTTGCAATGTAATTCTCACTAAAGCTTAACTTGGAAAAATGCAGGGGTTTGCCAGTTTGATGGAGTAAGTGAGAAAGAAAGGCCTAATATAAAACAAACCTTGGTATCCTCTTATAACAACTTGTTAGCTCCCAAGGTAAAAGCAGCTTGTTTGGATACAACAAGCATAGTTCCTAAAGAAATAACCTATACTTGTTCAAGTTACAAAAGGACTTGCACAAGTAGCTTCTCCAATTGGTTCAATCAATTCAGCATTCTCCTTCAAAGAGGGGTAAAAGAAAGAAGGCATGAAACCTTCAATTATTTGAGAGTTTTTCAAGTAATAGCAGCTTCTCTCTTAGCTGGTTCTATGTGGTGGCATTCTGACTACACGGATATCCAGGACAGGCTTGGCCTCCTCTTCTTCATTTCCATTTTTTGGGGTGTTTTCCCATCGTTCAACGCTGTTTTCGCATTCCCTCAAGAACGTGCCATATTCGTCAAGGAAAGGGCTTCGGGTATGTACACACTCTCCTCCTATTTCATGGCACGAATCGTTGGAGATCTTCCCATGGACCTTATCTTGCCTACATTGTTCCTCGCCATAACGTATTGGATGACAGGGCTAAAGCCCCAACTCTTGCCATTCCTTTTGACACTGCTCGTCCTGCTGAGCTATGTGATTGTTTCACAAGGCCTCGGCTTAGCCCTTGGCGCCTTGATCATGGATGCTAAACAAGCTTCAACTGTGGTCACTGTCACGATGCTAGCATTCGTTCTAACAGGAGGGTTCTACGTGCATAAAGTGCCAGCTTGTTTAGCTTGGATTAAGTACATCTCGACCACATTTTACTGTTATCGACTACTTATTAATGTCCAGTATGGAGAAGGCAAGGAAATCTCAGACATGCTTGGCTGCTCACATCAAGGAAGTGATAGAGCTAGCTGCAAATTCATTGAACAAGATATCAATGGTCAAATTCATCCATCCGCGAGCCTTGGCATCCTCCTGATAATGTTCGTGGGATATCGATTAATTGCTTACCTTGCATTGAGGCGAATTCGAGCCTAAACAGAGGGAAAGTTTCTGACTTTTTTAGATGATGGAAATTGATGGTTAGCTAGCTTTGTGGGGGATGTGGGAATAGTATATACTTGTTGAGAATTGTGACTGACTCTGTTCAAATGATGAAAGCTGCAGTGGGTAAGGGAAAAATTGAAGTGTAATATAAGAGGAAAAAGTGTAGTGACTTGCACCTAAAACTGGCGAAAGGCCAGCCAGCATTCGTTGTTGTAACTTCAGAAAGACGAGGAATTTTTTTTATCGCAAGAAACTTTCCTTTTCTTTCAAGACTAAGAAATTCTTCTAAACAACATTTCTCTATGGTTACATGAATTCGCAATATATTATACACTTAACACCAAGTCGCATTCAATTTTCTGAAAGGCTCAAACAATCCAAATGAAAGACTTTTACAACTAATTAGGAGACAATCTATGGATAAGAATTGAATGAATTAAGAACATCATTTAATAAGGTTAGTTTCCTTAATAGAAGACAACTTCTGCCAAGATTTTATAATTAAAGCACTCTAGAGATGAAGTACAACATGAAAAATAACTTATATATTTTCATCCTTCCTGTCTCGCTTCAGTGGACAAACGAAGAAGCTATAACTAATGGAAGAATGCTATTAGCATAGAGATTGTACTAGAAAAGAGAGTAGGATACAACTATATAAAAGAGAGAATCGTTTTCTTGTGGCGACCTTCTGTAAGTTTGTCACTTATTCATGATTTGAGCTATAATTTATACCTCATTGAATTTCAAAAACTTGAATTTTTTTAAAGCATTGTAGGGAGGACCTTGGTACGTAGAAAATAATTTTCTAACCGTAAGAAAACGGGAACCACCATTCATAACATTCGAAAATTGTATTTCATACACAACCATCTGGGAAAGGTTAACTGATTGTTGCTACAGAATTCTGTGATATATACAATCAAAAACAGCAAATTTTTTTTTTTTTTTTTTTTTATGTTTATTTTAGAGAGTCTATGTGTTTGACCAAACTTTTAGGAAAAAATAAGTATTTTTTCACGGAACACTTTTGGATCCTTAGGCAAAGATAAGTTGCTGTTTAATAGTGGCAAAAATAATTTTCAAATTAATTAGTCAAACGCAATTGTTACTATACAAAAGTACTTCAAGAGTACTTTTGACAAAAACATATTATTTAAAATAAGTAGATTTTAAAAGTATGCTCACATCATCACAAGGGCTCAATGGTTTGCTCTCTCTGTGCAGAGAAATTTTATTTTGAGTATAATATGCCAAGTAATACTTGTGTAAGGCCCTTATTTAGTCACATCTGTAATTTGTGAACCCAATTTTTTCTAACATTTTCTCCTTCGATGTGTTTCTTCGGTCAAAGCAAATGCTCCTCACACTTTCTCTTTCTTATTCTTTCCTTTTTCGTTAACACTCCATCTCCCCCCTTGCAACAGATCTATACATCTTATCCCTTGCAACAGATCTATGTGATGGGTCTGTGACTGTTAGCTCCACATTTCATACATTACTTGTGTATCTTTATTTTAATTGGGACCTCGAGGCTCTCGCCCGGTCCTTGAGTTCTTTAGAAAACTTAACCCAAATAAAAAATCTCCATGACTGTCAAGAATGAGAAACAGAGTACCAAAGAGAGACAACTCCTGCAATTACAGCTTGTCAAGGCAATTTTATAGAATTGTTTACAGAAAAAGAAGATGTTTGCTTGGAGAAAAATCTGATTTTTTACTCTAGTTCTCTATAAAAATGAAGTCAAAATTTAAAAAATATAGCTCTGCAAATACCTACCAATCTTATTTAAATTTTTTTAAAGGTATTTTTTAATGGATTTTCACCATTTTCATGGAGAAAAAGAACAGAAAAGAGGTTTGAGGACTATGAACAAGAAAGATAGCGATAATGGGAGAAAATATACTTGTTCTTTTTAAAAATATTTTATGGGTTTAATTTAACTGAATAGAAAATGAATTAGAAACATGAAATTCTGGTGACTGGAAATATATTGAGTTACGGGAGTTGCAGAAATTTGGAAGAGAAGGAGAGTAATAGGGGATGGAGGTGGCCAATTTTTGCTGGAAGTGGGACCCAAAATCCACTTGGCAAAGATGTAAAGCAGTCCTATACAAGTATTGTCTGCCACGTAATAGTTGAGTCTCGTACAAAATAAAATTCTCTAGAGAAATTTTATTTTGAGTCTAATATGCCAAGTAATACTTGTGTGAGGCCCTTATTTAGTCACATCTGTAATTTGTGAACCCAATTTTTTCTAACATTTTCTCCTTCGATGTGTTTCTTCGGTCAAAGAAAATGCTCCTCGCACTTTCTCTTTCTTATTCGTTCCTTTTTTCGTTAACACTCCATCTTCCCCCTTGCAACAGATCTATGCGATGGGTCTGTGACTGTTAGCTTCACATTTCATATACTACTTGTGTATCTTTATTTTAATTGGGACCTCGAGAGTCTCTCGCCCGGTCCTTGGGTTCTTTAGAAAACTTAACCCAGATGAAAAATCTCCATGACTGTCAAGAATGAGAAACAGAGAACCAAAGAGAGACAACTCCTGCCATTACAGCTTGTCAAGGCAATTTGCTACAGAATTGTTTTCAGAAACAAAATATGTTTTCTTGGAGAAAAATCTGATTTTTTTACTTTAGTTCTCTATAAAAATGAAGTCAAAATTTAAAAAATATAGCTCTGAAAATACCTACTGTTGCTCCCAACGCACACGCAAGTATACGTGGTCGTACAAGTAATATAATGATAAGTTGAGTGTCGAACCCACAGAGACTTGTGTAAACTACTCACTAATTCACTAAAATTGTTATTCAATCTAGCTAAAAACAAAGTTCAATAATATGATTATATGATACTACGATTCTAAATAATAACTAAATTATCAAGTAACAAGTTGATTGTTGTGTATTCAGTAGAGACAAATATTTCAGAATTGTGATCGATTCACCAATCGTATTGTGTTCTAATTATCTCTCCCTTTCATATAATTCACTCATGGTTTCTAATTAATCGATAAATGCTCTCATAGCCTTCTCCCGAAGTACTAATCATCTATTCTCAATAGATTAACGCCTATATTCCTATGAAATCAATCTATTAAGAATGCATTAAGATCACAATATTTAATTAAACATGGTGACTAGGTATATTCCTATCCTAACCACAAATCTGATCCCCCTAAGGGTTAAGATCATGCTCTCTTCAATTCTTCTCTAATCTAAACATGGCTTTCCCAAGCATAGCATAGATAGTAAATAGAACCTAACTGCTGGCCAGACAATTAAGCAATTCAACACAGAATTGAAGAAACAACCATATATGAGTGAATTATAATCAAGGTTAAGCTAATATCAAACAACAATATTCATGGCTAAATCACAACCCCAGAACAATGGGTGTTTTACCACTCATGATGTAATCAAACAATTGCATAAGTTTTGATTAATTGAAAATACTAGAAAAGATAAGAATTCTGAGATGTTCTTGCTCCTCAATGTTTCTTGCGCGTATCTTTGCTCCAAAGTCCATCTCTCCTCCCAAAAATAGGTTTAGTTTTGCTTTTATATCAGTTAGGTAGGTCTAGGACCAAAATAAACTTGTCCCGGACAAAATAAGGCACATTTCACGTCACCAGCGCTCAGCCCGGCGCCAGGCGCCCTCCACGATGCCCCAAATGTGAGCATACTGTTTTCCGATTTTTTTTGTTTTAGCTTCAATTCTTGCACGTTTCTCCCAAATTGCTCCTGAATTATTCCTACAAGTAAAACACTTCAAATCAATATAATTCATCGCATTTAACATCACAATTTCATGAAACAAGAGTAAGATATGAGGCAATTTACATAAAAATATATATACTTTAAGCTAAACATCAACACCCCACACTTAGACTCTTGCTCGTCCTCGAGCAATCGGACTATCTAATAAACCCCCAACTACGTACAACGTTCAATCATAAAGGAGCACCTTAACTTTTAACTACATACTATACCCTTGACTATGATCAATACCGGCACACAAGCATGCACACACACAAATTAACATTCTTTCCGTTTAAGCAAACCCAAGTATAATCTTTCAATTCAATAATTTCCAATAACCTAATTTTCACCACCCAGCCTCACAAGCCGACTTGCAACCACTAAGTACCATCAATTTATGCACTTATCCAACAAGAAAGTTTACAACATTACCAATCATTCATGAGATCATGTGCCCTTACCAACAAACCGAGAGTGAATATAAATTGGTCCTCACATTCAAATATGCTTTTGAACATAATTTAAGGACATCACACAATTGAACAAAATTCGCTCACTCTCACAAAGAATTCATATGCATCCCGTGGTCGTTCCATAAGCTTGCCCGTAGTGTATATCTCCACTAATTTAAGCTAGCCAAATCTAGGATCAATTAGGACTTTTAGGTTGTAATGTAGGCTAAGGGACGGGTAGGATATATTTAGAAATAGTGACTCACCCTCCTAAGCACTTTAATACACTACATTTACACTTCAAGCACATATTCTTCTCAATCAAATCACTTGCCATATACAACATAGCCCTCTTTTCACTTAAGCACTTCTCTATTTTTGTCACTAGCACAAATCAATAAGAATTGGAGGTATTTTCTATATACTTTCACTATCATTTTTTTCTTTTCTTTCAATTTTTCTTTTCCCTTCTCTTTTTTTTTCTTTTCTTCACACACTCCATACATTAAAGTTCATTGGCCAGTGACTTTTGATTTCAACTTTAGTGCACCAACTTGCCATTCCATGGTTCCACTTAAAAGCTACTCCCCAATCTCTAACCTTACTTCTTTTAGCGACTAAGTGCCTTAGGAGGTAAAGGTTCAATCAATATAAAATTAAGAACAAAATAGGGAATGACTTGTAATGTGGGTGCCAAAAGAAAGGTCTATAGGCTCAAAGGGGTTAGCAACGAAAATTTTTATTTTTATGTGACAAACACATCTATGATCAAGCAAGAAAAATGCCTACGTCATCTCCTAGATTAGAACAACTCACAATTTTGCTTCAATTAACACACGAGGCAAGTTCTAGACTACACAGGATAGTACAGAAAATCATGAATCCTCACACACGCGTTGCACATGACTCAATCAAGACGGTTCTGTTCAACTCTCAAGTCAAGCAAGCACAAATAAATGAGAAATTTAAGCAACATTGCACTATGCGGCATACAAGTCAGACAATCGGGAAAAGGCGTCACAAAATAGGCTATTTACTTTACTTCGGCTTT